ACTCTAGAGATGGCTCTTGGAGAGGACTGGGAGTTGGTTCACTGGCAACTATATCAGGGAGCTCACAACTGCTTGAATATCCAGGTCCAGTGGATGAGACTCCTTCTGGCCTCTGCAGGCACTAGCATACTTGTTGTGTACACACAAGTGTACAGAAATACACATATGAAAAGTGTATGACAGGAAGTCCCCTGCATGTGAGATCCAGGGTCTTCAAGACTCAAATCTTGACACTGAAATGCAGTTCCTTCCTCTATGGAAGGCAGCAGGGAGAGGATGGGAGGGAATCATGGGAGAGCATCAAGAAGGAGGGGACAGCGTGGTCTGCACAGCAGCGGTGTGAGTCCCTTTCTCCACCTTCACCTTACAGGACTGTGTTTTTGCGCCTGTTCTCTTTGGTATTCCTCCTGGTTTCTCTGTGGAATCAGATCACATGTGGGGGAAACAAGGAGGCAGAAAGATGCAAGGCCTGTGGCTACAATTATGAAGAACTTCCGGTGAGAACGCTGTGGGGGCATGTGGGCATTCTTGTGCTTACAGGTAGGACAGGGATCGTTGGTTTGGGAAGAGAATATAGCATGGCTGCTTATAAACACAGAAGCCCTCACCCATGCACTTTATGAGTGGGGCTTCTGATGCTTTCTAGCAATTTGGAACATCGGATGCTTGAACCTCCATGTTGGAAGGTCTGGTCTATTGATTTCTTACTTCTTCAGTGCTGGGAGACTCGGCTGGGCCAGGAGATGTACAAACTTGTGGTCTTCGATCTGCTGGTGGGCTTGTTGGTCATGCTGTTGGTCCAGTTTCCTAGGAAGTAAGTGCCCTGCCCCTCCTTGGAGCTCTGCCCCTGTCGAAGAGTTCTCACTTCCTGTCCTACCAATTTTCTTTTAACTGGGGTCTTTACACAAACAAGGTAGTTTGTCACTGAGCTAGATATTCTAGCCCTCTTTATTATTATTTTATCTTATTTATTTATTGGTGTGCATACGTGTTTGTGTGAGCATATGCTGTGTGCTTGTGTGTAGGGGGGATAGTCAGATGAGTCTTCCTTTATCATTCTTTGCCTGTTCCTTTGAGGCGTGCTCTCTCTCTCTCTCTCTCTCTGAGCCTGGGATTCACATTTTCTTAGCTAGGCAAGAAGCCAGCAAGCCCCAGCAATTTTCCTCCCTCTGGCCCTCTCAGTTACAAGCATGCCAGGATGTCTGGCTTATTAAGTGAGTTCTGGGATCTTAACTCTGGTTCTCATAATTGTCCAGTAAATGCTTTTAACTGCTGAGCCGTCTCTTCTAACACACACACACACACACACACACACACACACACACACACATATATATATATATATTAAAGATTTACTGGTTCTAATTATGTGGGGGGTGGAGTAAAATTGAAAAGCATTATGCCCTTGCGATGCTGAAGCATGCATGGGCAGCCCATATTTGGTGGTTCTGTTGAACTTGTCCTTATTGGGTTTCATGGTCTAAGTTGATGAGGACAATTTGACCAGGTCTTTTCCTCAAGAGGGCACCAGGTCTCATTACAGATGGTTGTGAGTCACCATGTGGTTGCTGGGACTTGAACTCAGCATCTTGGAAGTGCTCTTAACCGCTGAACCATCTCTCCAGCCCGGGTGGTAGAGTGCGCACAGGTGCCCATGGAAACAAGAACAAAGTGTCATCCCTTGAAACTGGAGTTACAAGTGGTTGTAAGCCACTTGATACAGGTAGTAGGAATTAAACTCTGATCCTCTTAAAGAGGAGTCTGCCCCTCATCCCCCCTTTTGTATGTAGAGACATGGTCTCTACACAGTCCTGGCTGTCCTACAGCTCTCTGTGTAGACCAGACTAGCTTAGCCTTGAACTCACAGAGATCTGGCATCGAAGACTGCCCAAAATAACCACTCAGAAACTATATTAATTACACCCCTGCTTGGCCTATTAGCTTATGCATATTTTTTACTAGCTCTTACATTTTTTTTTTAATAATGCTGGGTCATCGGGCTTCTTTTAAGTGTTTTCAACTACTTAAATCAATTTCTATTTTATTTATTTATTTATTTATTTATTTATTTATTATGTATATAATATTCTGTATGTGTGTATGCCTGCAGGCCAGAAGCGGGCACCAGACCTCATTACAGATGGTTGTAAGCCACCATGTGGTTGCTGGGAATTGAACTCAGGACCTTTGGAAGAGCAGGCAATGCTCTTAACCTCTGAGCCATCTCTCCAGCCCTAGATCTTACATCTTAAATTAACCCATTTCTATTATTCTATATTTTACCACGAGGCTCATGGCCTACTGGCAAGGTTCCAGCTGGTGGCTCGTGTCTTTTTCCTCTGGTGGCGAAATGGCTACTCACTGACTCCTCCCTCTATCTATCTATCTATCTATCTATCTATCTATCTATATCTAAGCCATTGGCCGAAAGCAGCTTCTTTATTCATTAACTAATACAGAAGGACTTTCCACACCAGAGATCTACCTGCCTCTGCGTTGAATGTGCTGGGAGTAAAGGCATGTGCCACCACATCTGCTCAGTATAGACCCTTAACCACTGAACTGTCTCTCTCATCCCCTTTTTTTATTTTTCCCAGACTCTGTCTGTAGCTTGGGCTGTCCTGGAACTGGTGGCGACCCAGTCTCCCTAGGGCTCTGATTACTGGTCTAAGTCACCACATCCAGCATCCTTTCCTTTTCCTCACCTAAATCCCCACCCGCTCTTTTCTCAGCTATTTCTCTCTGACTCCACTCCTACTCTTAGTATTTTAGATCAGGTAACTTTGAAACCAGGTTCTGGAACATAGATCACAGATCATAGATCACGTTTACGTCCTTTACATTTAATCCCAGCACTCAGGAGGCAGAGGCAGGTGGATCTCTGTGAGTTTGAGGCCAGCCTGGTCAACAAGAGTTAGTTCCAAGACAGGCTCCAAAACTACAGTGAAACCCTGTCTCAAAAAACCTTTACAAAATAATGGGCTGGATGATAAGGTTGAGAAGACCCCAAAACATCCAGGCTTATGACTGCCCTACCTTGCCTTTCAGGATATTCTGCGGCCTCTGTCCTGGGGCATTGGGTCGTATGATGGGGACTCTGGAGTTCCAGGTGCCCGACGAGGTGTTGGGGCTCATCTACGCTCAGACCGTGGTCTGGGTGGGAAGCTTTTTCTGCCCTTTACTACCTTTGATCAACACCGCCAAGTTCCTGATACTCTTCTGTCTGAAGAAGGTGAGGCTGAGGACGATCCGGGGGTCGGAGCCGACAGGTGTTGGGGCTATACTCCTGGGTTAGGGAAAGGAGGATGTTATGGCCTTTGATGACTGAACCCCAAGGGAGGGAGAAGTGTGCTGGAAGTCAGAGTCCTGAGCCCAGAGAAAGGAATCTGAGATGTCTGAGGTGGCTCAGACATCTGGGTCCTGCCGCAAAGGAGGCCAAAACTCCAAGATGGTAAAAGAGGAAACCACAGGACTGACCCTTGGGTCTCAGAGCTCCATTTCTCACCTCTTCCCGCAGATGGCGCTCTTCTCCATCTACTCACCGGCCTCACGCACCTTCCGAGCCTCCACAGCAAATTTCTTTTTCCCCCTGGTGCTCCTTGTGGGTCTGGCAATCTCTGCTGTCCCGGTGCTTTACAGTATCTTCTTGTAAGTCTGAGAGGCGCCTTTTCCATTGCGTTCATCACAGGGTCCTCACTCTGGCCCTATTTGATTGAGCTCAGTGTGTCTCTGCCTGCAGGATCCCACCTTCTAAACTGTGTGGCCCATTCCAAGGGAAGTCGTCTATTTGGGTCCAGATCCCCGAGTCCATTGAAAGCCTCCCTCAGACTGCCCAGAACTTTCTCTACTTTCTGGGGACCCAGGCTTTTGCTGTACCCCTTCTGATCCTCTCTTGGTGAGTGGTGCCAGACTTTAGGGTCAAAGTTTGGATATGTGTGATTTGGGGGCTGAGCACCTAAGTATTAGAGAGGAGGCCTGCACCTGGATACCTATGTGGAATGGAAGGGAACTGGAACCTACCTAGATCTGGAGCAGGAGGGATGGGGTCTGGACTCCTGGGCCTCAGAAAAGAAGTCTGGGTTTGGAACCCTGGGTCTAAAGGAGGTCTCTGCAGCCTAGACTCCTGATCTGAAGGAGGAGGACAGAGGTGTGGACTCCTAGGTCTGAGGCAGAAGAGAATGGAGTCTCAAGAGGGTTTTGAGGGTCCTGATCCAGGTTTCTAAAGAGCCATATGATGAAGATAGATATATAGATATAGTTTTTGTTTTCCTGGAGTGACTTCCATTCCTGTTTTCCTAAGCATCCTGATGGCGTATACAGTAGCCCTGGCTAACTCTTACGGACGCCTCATTTCTGAGCTCAAACGCCAGATCGAGACGGTGAGCCAGGGTGGTTCCCTAGGAAGGGCTCCCTGAGAACATGGGAAGAAGGACATGGGTGAAGAGAAGGTGTGTCTCACTTCCATCCCCCTTTGCCCTCAGGAAGCGAAGAATAAAGTCTTCCTAGCCCAGCGAGCCGTGGCTCTAAGCTCAGCGAATGGAACTCTCTGACCAGTCTGGCAGGAAATGTCATCCCACCTTCAGCCCTTCAAACCGATTGTACACCTCAGTGACTTCCTATAGTACCCTCTCATCTCTAGAATCGAGACCTACGGCCTCCGCCACCAAGTACCACACTCAGTTGAATCGTATTAATAAACAATAGCCGAGGTCGCTATACATTTTGAAACCCAGTCCTGAAGCCTTGGACAGAGTTTGGGGAGGGGCCTGGTCAATGGCTGGTTTGTGTGACGGGAGAGACAGGAGGCGCATCACCAACCCCAACAGCAGCGTCCGGGGTGGGGCAGCTCAGGTTGTAAACGTTTACGATTGGCTGTGATGGAATACCTCTTAGCCAATCACCTCTAAAATAGGTCATGAGTGGGCGTGATAATTGGCCCAGAACCAATGCACAGGCAAGGGTGGGACCATGGGGCGGGAGCTTCCTCGCGCCAATCGGAAGTATTGGAGAGTGGGCCTGATGGTCGGAGGTCGGCTACGGAGCCATGAATATTTTGCCCAAGAAGAGCTGGCACGTCCGGAACAAGGACAATGTCGCCCGTGTGCGGCGCGACGAGGCCCAGGCCCGGGAGGAGGAGAAGGAGCGTGAGCGGAGGGTGTTGCTCGCTCAACAAGAGGTAAGCCTGGGGCTGGCCCGGAAGCACGGAGGGCCTGCCGGTCACTCGCTGTCAGGCGCGGGTCAGTGTTTGGCGATGTTTCTCTACAAATCCTTTGCTAACTTCCACGAAACCTTCCTAGATTTCCCCACTGGTGTAGTTGAAGTGGCCAGAGACTAGCTCATAAGAGTGGGACAGATATTCTGATTACTTTATAGTTCGTCCGCACAAGTCACTGAGCATCCACTGTATATATGTCCCCCACCTACAAAAACTTGAGAAATCCCTCTTAGAACAACTTTGAGTCCTTAAAGGGGTGTGCGGTCGGCACTGAGCGCAAAGGCTTCAACGAGGAGGGCAAAGGGCGGACAAGCTGGAGTCCACTCCGTTAAACGCATTTTCCATCATTGCTCCCCGAGACAAATACACCCAGAGGCTTTGCTTGTTTGTTTTTCAAGACCGGGTTTCTCTGCACAACAGACTGACAGTCCTGGCTGTTGTGGAACTCGTTTTGTAGACCAGGCTAGCCTTGAACTCACTGAGATCCAGCTGCCTCTGCCTCCCGAGTGCTTGGATTAAAGGCGTGCGCCACCACCGCCTGGCCAGAGGCTTTCTTTGAAACAGGGCCTAGGTAGCCCTGGCTGCCCTAGAACTGGCTATGTAGACCAGGCTGATCTCCACCTCTGAGATCCGCCTGCCACTTCCACCTGAATGCTGGGATTGAAGACTACACACACACGACTAGACTTTGATTATTCAGTCATTTTTGTTTACACTTAAATCCCTTGGCCAATCATGAATTGGTGTGGATTTTAAAATTTTTCATAGTAGCTGGATTTGGTGAGGTTTGTAATCCCACATACTGAGGCTGTAGAGGGGAGAATTATGGAGACTGTCCTGAGCAATTCAGAACCTACCTGGGGCCGGGCGGTGGTGGTGCACGCCTTTAATCCCACTACTCGGGAGGCAGAGGCAGGCGGATCTCTGTGAGTTCGAGACCAGCCTGGCTACAAGAGCTAGTTCCAGGACAGGCGCCAAAACCACAGAGAAACCCTGTCTCGAAAAACAAAAAAACAAAAACAAACAAAAAACCAGAACCTACCTTGGATGGGGGTGACCACTAATGTTTGGAATAGTGACCTGGAGCCACACCTGGGGGCCAAATTCTTTTTCCAGAAAGTAGTATGGCATGGCTGCCTAATAAGCTGTCTTTGGGAGTTTGTGCGTGTGCTGCATATACACCAAGCAGGGGCTCTATGGCTGGGACAAAACCATCTCTACCTTAGAGCTGAGTGGGTTTTCGTTGTGGTTTTGGTTTTTGGAGACAGGGGTTTCTCTGTGTAGCTTTGGAGCCTGTCCTGGAACTCACTCTGTACACTAGCCTGGCCTACTTCTGCCTCCCAAGTGCTGTGATCAAAGGCAAGTGGACTTTATGGGACTTTATTTTGTGGGCCCCTACCCTGCTGCAAAGTGTGGCCCAAGGACACAGAAATACTGAGTAGTTAGTTTTTTGTTTTTTTTTTTTTTAAAAAAAAAAAAAGGATTTATTGTGTGTACAGTGCTCTGCCTGCAGGCCAGAAGAGGGCACCAGATCATATTCTAGATGGTTGTGAGCCACCATGGGGTTGCTGGGAATTGAACTCAGAACCTCTGGAGGGGCAGCCACTACTTTTAACCTCTGAGCCATCTCTCCAGCCCCCTGAGTGGTTTTTTTTTTTTTTTTTTTTTTTGGTTTTTCAAGACAGGGTTTCTCTGTGGCTTTGGAGCCTGTCCTGGAACTAGCTCTGTAGACCAGGCTGGTCTCGAACTCACAGAGATCCGCCTGCCTCTGCCTCCCGAGTGCTGGGATTAAAGGCGTGCACCACCACCGCCCGGCCTGAGTGGTTTTTTTAATAGCTGCTTTTTGTTTTGTTTTGCATCACTGTAGGCTGGGAATCCTTCTGTTTTAGGCTGGGGACCTACCAGCAATTCCTGATAATCAAGTTTACTGTTTTTGTAGTTTTTCGAGACAGGGTTTCTCTGTACCTTTGGAGCCTGTCCTGGAACTAGCTTTTGTAGACCAGGCTGGCCTTGAACTCACAGAGATCCGCCTCCTTCCCTCACCGCCCCCCCCCCCCCCCCCCCCCGCCCTCCCAGTGCTGGGATTAAAGGCGTGTGCCACCACTGCCCAGCAAGTTTACTGTTTAAAACACCCATTCTTCACTCCAAATTAGAAACGGTGTCTCTTCTGGCTCCCAGTACCTATACTGTCCTATCCTCACCTCCCCCTCTAAAGGTTTTTCCAGATAGTTTGCTTGTATAGCCCTGCCTGTCCTGGAACTCGCTCTGTAGACCAGGCTCGCCTTGAATTTGGAGGTTACAAGGCTTGTGCTTTTAATCCCAGCACTTGGGGGGTGGAGGCAGAGGCAGGCCAGATGTACAGAGCAAGTTCCAGGACAGGGTCCAAAGCTACAGAGAGAAACCCTGTCTTGAAAAAAAGCAAAACAAAACAAAACCCACTCAGCCTCTGTCTCCTGAATGCTGGCATTAGAGGCATACACCATTAGCCGGCCATGGCTCTTTCTTGTAGCCCCCAGCACTTCTATGTTCTGAAGGTCTTTTTTTTCCCCAACCTCTTTAGGAGTGTTCTGAAGGTCTTGCCTATAACTTTCTTCACAGGCCCGAACAGAATTCTTACGGAAGAAAGCCAGGCGCCAGAACTCACTGCCTGAACTGGAAGCAGCAGATGCAGGAGTTCCAAGTTCTGGCCCTGTGGACCTGTTTAAGGAGCTGCTGGAAGAAGGGAAAGGAGTTTCCAGAGGCAATAAAGAGCATGAGGAAGAGAAGCGACAGGAGAAGGTAAGCTGGCTTCCTCTCTTGTGGAATCCTGGGGGGACTGGGGTCAGGGGGGCTAGCTGTAACAGCTGATAGGATATGGTGACCGATGAGCACACAGGACATTCTGAATGTGACTGAAAGCACATAATTTGGTTACTGATGCAGTGCACTTAAGCTGGTTTCTGATGTTAACCTTACTATATGAGACTTAATTGAGATGAGACCTCAACTATACAGACCAGGGTGCCCTCCAGCTCACAATCCCCGATTTGACCTCCTGAGTGCTGGGGTCAAAAGCGTGCACCGCCAGATGGCACTCGTGCTTCTCAAATTGTGGCTCTCCTGCATCTCCCATTCCAACTTTGAAGATGCTTGTATCCCACCGAAACCACTCTGCTTTGCTTGTCTGCAGGTTTTCCCAGACTTCTCCCATCCTCCTTTCCATCCCTGTCCTCCTTTTCCTTTTCCATTTCCAGATGAGCCAGCCCTTAGCACTTTGCATAGCTAGTCCTGTCCCTGATTTCCCTTGTTGAATGACTACCTACCAGCCCGTCGTCTCTCTGAACTCTGACCCTGGCTTTCCCTACTGCCACATCTAGGGCTCTCAGAGGGACTGAAAAGACTATTGTGTTTTCTTGCCCCCATAGGAGAGGCAAGAGAAAGCACTAGGCATCCTGACGTACTTGGGCCAGAGTGCAGCAGAGGCCCAAACTCAACCTCCTTGGTACCAGCTCCCCCCAGGGAAAGGGGGCTGCCCTCCAGGCCCAAGCCCAGATGAGAAGATCAAGAATCGGTTGGACCCATTGAGGGAGATGCAGAAGCACCTGGGAAAGAAAAGGCACAGCAGCGAAAGCCGTCCTTCTAGAGAAGAGAGGCCTCAGAAACAACGGCCCAGAGAGTAAGAATAGATTTAGTCCACAGTAGAGCAGAGTGAGATTCTGGGGGCTCTAGCACAGCAGTGTAGTTATCATAAAAAGCTCAACAGGAAAGGCAGGTTGAAGTGCTTCTTAATATGTGGTCTACAGATCTCTGTGGAGACAGACTTCATTTAGGATTTTAGGAATAGTATCTCCTCTTATGGCTAAGGGTATGTGTGGATGCTTCTATGCAGGATTTCTCAGGCTTTTTGTTTTTTTGATGTGCATGGGTGTCTTGCTATGACTCCAGCACGGGGGGGGGGGGGGGGGGGGGGGGGGAGAGGGAGGAGAACAAAGGCAGGTAGACAGGGCCAGCCTGGTCTACAAAGTTATAGCCAGAGCTACACAGCACGGAGAAAGCCTGTCTTGAAAAACTTACCTTAAAAGATATTTATGGCCCTTAGTCCCCCCCCCCCCCCCCCCGAGATAAGGTCTCACTACGTAGCCCTGGCTATCCTAGAACTGACTGTGTTAACCAGGCTGGCTTTGAACTCAGAGATCTGTCTGTCTCTGCTTCCCAAGTGCTGGGATTAAAGCATACCCGCATCACACTCAACTGTCTTATATTGCCACAGCAGAAGGCGGCACACAGGGAAGAGCCCTGTTTGACTTTGATCCTCAGTTTTGTTCTTTTGGTTTTTTGAGACACGGTTTTTGTGTAGTCCTGGCTATCCTGGAACTAGCAACTGCAGAGAGGTACTCACAGACTAGTCTTTTTATTTCAAAATGGTGCAGGGGCCCCAGGATACTACTAAATGTGCTTTCTTGACCTGGAGGGGCATGTGATCTTACAACCACAGGGGAGGCACAGCCCTTGAAGTGAGTCTAAGGACTCACACATGTGGCCCAGAACCAGGTGGCTTCTCTCAAGCTTTCTGCTCTTGCTCTCTTCTTTCCAGGCCACCTTCCCTACAAGAGCTCCGAGCTGAGCGTCTTCAGCGAGAAGCAGCTGAGAGGGCTCGAACAGAGGCCCTGCTGGCCCGTGTACAAGGCCGAGCATCCCAACAAGGTCAGGTGGAAGTGGAAGAGACAGATGAACGGAGGCGGCGGTACAACTCCCAGTTCAACCCTCAGCTGGCCCGGCGCCCCCGCCAGCAGAACCCCACTCCTGCACACTAACTCTTGGGGGAACAGGAGAGGCTGCAGCTGCCAGCCGTCATATAAAACTATTTATTCATAAATATTTTCCAAAATGAAAATAGGTTTACCAAAAAATGTCCCTCACTGGGGAGGGGAGGAGGGGGCAACTCTCACCCCCAGGCCCCCAGGGTAGGGCAGAGAGGAAGAGAAAACCTCCCTGCCCTTTCCCTGCTCCTGGGGGGGAGGGTGCCCCATGGCCTTGGGCCTCCCCCAGTCTTCCAGGGCAGGGCCCTCACCTGGGCAGGGGGATCAGCATGCGGGGGGAGGGGTCAGGTAGAGGGGGCCGGTGTCACTGGAGGTCCCGGTCCTCCAGGTAGCGGTACTCAAAGGTGAAGCCTTCCTTCTTCCGTTGGCCCCACTTCTCGTAGTCAAAGTAGATGTAGGTGCCCTGGCCGGGGAAGAAGGTGGTCAGTGAGTGGACGAGGAGGGGAGCTGAGATCTGGGCCAGGCAGATGACAAAAGAGGCAGTCGTCCGGTACATGGAGGTGCACTATTATGCTCCACCCTTGGTGACTGTAGAGTGGTGAAGGGGAGACAAAGAGGGCAAGCCCCTGGTGGGCCTGCAGGCTTTCTCTACAGCTTTGGAGGACACAGCCATGAGGCCCACACTTGTGTTCAGACCCCGAGGAATGGGGACAACAGGTGGCCTACAGTGTAACAGATGTACAGCATCCATATCCAAGTGCACAGCAGTGACACACACTCATTGTAATTGAGATTCTAGAGACTCAGTGCCCTGAGATGTATTCGAGGACCAAACCAGGGAAGGACAACAAGTCTGAAATCGAGGTTGGAGATGAGACAGCAAAGAAAGAAGCTGAGTCAAGTGTCTGAAATGCTTCAACATGGTCTGGAAGAATGTAGGAAATGGAGTAGAGTTCTGTAAGAATGGAGACCAGTGAAGGCCAGCTTGGCACCCGGAAGTGTAGGTGTACGGGGAAATGTGTACGGGGAAAGTCACCATGGAACACACCAACTGAAAGCAATTAAAAAGAAATCCGTGACGCTCACTGTATAGCAGGCACCATTAGTACTTACATATTATTAACTCATTTAATCCTTGTAACAACTGCATGAGATGGGTACTGTTACTCCCATTTTTACAGAGAGAAACGAAGAGAGGTTCGCTTGACTTGCCCAAGATCATCCAGCGAAAGCTGGGCTCAAACCCAGATCAGCTGGCTTTGAGGTATTTAGGGAGAGTGGAGTTTCCAATCAACTAATGACTGAGACTGGAGAAGGCTGCCTAAACAGGCTTCCTTCCAATTATGCTCAGTCCCTGTTCTGCTGGTTACCAGGAAAATAAGGGGTCAATGAGGTCAGGTTTGGGAGATGCCAACTATAAATATAAAATCCCACACTCTCAACTAAGTACCTAGGGCTGCATGGTAGAGACAGCAGCTCAAGGAAAAGTTTTCTCTTTGGAAGAAGTAACAATGGCACTAAGAAGTGGACAAATGGAGAGACAGCATCCCAGGAGTGTGGGAGGTCAGTTTGGTCAGTCTATAGGACTGTGCTTGAATATCAAAGGCCAGCAGCAAGTCTGGGCTTGGGGACACTAACCATACCCCAGTGAGACCAGGGCAGGCGGGACCCTCACCTGCTCAAACTCATCTGTGATGGTCTTGGGCTCCTCATGCCTCTGGAACCACATCATGTACTTGGTGTGGAATCGCCAGGACTGCTTCTTCAGGGCCTTGGCTGCCAAGTACTGTGCCTTGGTTCCCTGGGAGAGAAAATGCAGAGAAAGATCAGGGGGTATCCAAATTGGGTAGGGAATGGGGGATAGGGCAGGGCATCAGGGCTAGACCCAGACCCCCACCACAGACCAGCTGGGGCGGAGAGTCCATTTGCAGACAGTGCTGGGAGCACAAACATACCATGGTCAGAAGAAAATGAGACAGGAGGTGAGAATTGCTTTCAGAAAAGCTTTGAGAAAGAAGAGAAACTAATGCATAATGAAAGCTGAGAGAAGACTATGTAGAAAACTCAAAGGGAGATGGGAAGGGGTCTCTCTCTAGGGAGGCCTGAGAGTACCTTTGCAGTTCAAAGGCTATCCTCAACTAAAGGGTTTACCAGGAGCTCTTGGTAGTTGAGTGTGTACACAGCCTAGGGTCTGCAGCCTTTCCCTTAGTCTGAGCAATTAGAATGCCTTGGGACTGGACAGGTTTGAGGGGGCCTGGGATGGGGAGGGGTGCGGTCCCAGTGGCCGCAGTGGGACACCCACCTCGCCCCTCCAGCCCGAGGGGGGATGGCAGCGGTGGCGGCGGAGCTGAGGGGCCCGAGGCTGCCCCGGGGGCCCTGCTGTACCTCCAGATAGTAGAAGATGAAGAAGAGTGTCTCGGTTGACAGGCGCTGGTAGAACTCCACTGTGTCCGAGTGTGGGGGTGGCATCTGGTGGTGGTAGGGGGGCGTCGGGCAAGGGTTCCGGGGGAGGTATTGCCTGTGAACCAGAGAGGATTTAGTACCAGGTGACTTCCAGTTCCTGTCCTGCCTGCAGGAGGGTGTTCTGAAGCACACTACAGCCTGCTCTAAGGAGCCCCAAGCCAAGTCCTCAGCACTTTGAGATGAGTACTCTACCTAGTCTCTCAAGGCCCAGGAACCAGCTCCTCCCTCAGACTGGGAGTCCCAGTTCCCAGCCCCTTTCTGCAGCCCCTCACCGAATGCGCTCGGAGTCAGAGGGGTGGGGCATATGGTGCCAGGCGGCCTCTTCCATGGCCTGCTGGTAGAGCTGCTCCTTGGTGAGGGACACTGGCCCCAGTGGACACACACCCAGTGACAATGGTATGTTCACCTCTGAGAGCTGCAGGGGTGGCTGGGCTGAGGTTGGGGGTGCTGATGTGCTGCTCAGGATGATGTCTGTAGGGAGGGATGAGGAACCAGGCCCCTCAATGATGAGGATGGATTCAGTTTCTTCTTGGCTTTTGCCCTCCCCACCATCCCATGATTATCACCTCGCTCTGTTAGGTGTAAGGTTGGCACTGGGTCCTCAATACCAGAGCTGATAGCTGCCCGTTCTGCCATGGATTTCAGAGAGCTCAGAGGTTCAGGGGCCTAGTAAGAAAAAGGGGATGAGCCTCAGGACCTGGAGCACAGACTGGGTTACACAAAAATGCAAAGCCTGATGGGACCTGTACACTCTGCCTACTCTTCTGTTGCCAGTTCCCTATTTGCAAGATCTACCTATATTATGCTATAACACCATGGGCTGTACGTAAGCTGCACATCTGAGGTCACCATCAGAAAATGGACCACTGATTCTCTACTGTGTAATTCTGTTCAGGGCCCACGATACATTCCAGAGGAAACCATACCCTACAAAACACAGTGAACAGGCCATAGCACACACTGCTATAAAGACATTACATGCTGAAGGAACACCCACTGGACTGCCCACAGTAATATGGCATCTTGAGGGAGGTGGTTGGCAGGACTGTAGGCTCTGCTGTTGCCTTAAGGGTGCTGGCCATCCCCTGGGCATTCAATCTCCTTGGGAACATCAGTGGGTTGGGTCTGCAGCCCCCACACTGCTTGCTTTCCTTGATGAAACAGCTTAGGGCTGGCTCTTCTACCCACTCTGTGCAACCCTTCCATCATCAAAGTCCACCCACAGACCTGCACCCCAGCTCTCTTGGAGGGGACTCATTCTGTACTAGTCACAGCCAATAAGGCCTAGTCCATCATCCTATTCTTCCCTCATCCCACCCACAGCCTCACAGAAGCCTCTCCACAGTGTGTCACTTATTTTTTATCCCCACTAGAAAAGTAGACACACTGGATTTCCTGCTCCAGGATAGGCTCAGGGCCCACACCTGAGGAGCTCACCTTGATTTCCGGGGTACTGCTGAACTGTGGAGGACCATTGAGCAGGGTGCCAGCTGCCTTGGCCTCACTAAAGCTGGGCGTTGGAGAACTGGGGGGATTCACAGGCAGTGGCACCAAGAGACTGGGTCCCCCTGAGTTGTTCCCTGAGCCTGAAGCCACATTCCCAGCCCCCGTTGGGGCTGCCGTACTGGATTCCTTTCTGGGTAAAGAATGGAGGAGACTTAGATTAAGGTCCCTAGAGAATGAGTACAGAAAATGGGCTCCAAAGGGGGCAGTTGAAGGTAAGACAGCTGGGGTGGGCAGGAGCAGAACCAATCTCTAGGGTCCTCTTCCATTCAGCAGAGGTACTGAGTTGGGAATGCAGGATTTAGGATCCCTTAACAGCTTAAAAGAAGGGGGAACACTGGGGCAAGATTCAGAATAAATCTATTTATAAATTGATATGAATATATGTATATATATAAAGTAGCCTTGCACAGACACACAAGGTGTACTCCCAATGGGACTGCTAATGTCGGGGGCAAGGTGGCAGATCTTTCAGCATTGTTTGGAAACAGCTGAAGTAATCTGATGTCATGTTAGAGAAAAGGAGGATTAGGACATTTTACTTGGAAGAGGGAAAATAAGCCCCCCCACACCAATATCAGACAGGTTGCCTCAGAACAAAGAACAGAAATGCAGAGACAGCAGTCTCAAACCCGGAGTAAAAAAATCAGTAAAAGAAAGGACAAGGCTGGGAAGTAATGTATACACATCCCAGGTGGTAAGCAGGGACAGAAACCCTTGCTGAGGTGAAGGCAGAGTGCACTGGACACCATCAAAAAAAGGACAGAACTTGGAGCCTTGCAGCAAGAATGGCATGAGAGCCAGTGCCCACACCTTGCCACCCCAGAACTCACGAGGTGCTTGGAGCTGGGTTGTGAGGGCCTGAAGTAGGCCCCAGGGCTTGGTTGCTGGCACTGCTGCCCCCACTGCTGCTCAGGGCCACCTCTGCAGGGCTGTCTGCAACAACTGAACTGTAGCCTGGGGAAAAGAAGGGCAAGTGTAAACAGGCTGTCAGCCACTGCCCACCTTGCCCTGTCCCCCAAACTGGCCTCCACTTACTGGTGGCACCGTTCTGCTTGCCAGCCCCTCCGCCTGTGCCACTGTTACTATTGCTGCTGCTCCCTCCGCTGCCACCACCACTTCCCCCGCTCGGCTGGGCACTGGGGGGCCGGGGCTGGGCAGTGCTGGGCCCGCTGGCATTGGGTGGGGCCACAGCCTGGGCATAGGGGGCAGGAGTACCCGAGTTGTGGCTGGGAGCTGGACTGGCCTTGGGGCCCAGGGCACTTGGAGGTGCTGCTGGGGTAGAGGCCCCATTGTTGCCAGGGGTGGAGCTCAAGGCAGAAGTGGCAGGTGGGGGGCCAGAGGGATAGGTGGGCGGCACAGCTGGGGACTGGGGGTGCTGGTTGCTGTGGACAGGCTTGGAGCCGTTTTTGGCTGGAGACTGCAGGAAAGAAAGAATAGAGGGTCAGGTACTAGACCAGCTTGTCCACTACCCACAAGCCTCTACTGCCTCCCCACATATTCTCTGACCTGCTATCAACTGTCCACACCATCCAAGAGAACGTGACTGCCTTCATGTTTAAGACCTATTTATTTCTAGCCCACTCAGCTGTCCCAAGACCTTGCTGGACATTGCCCCCTGTAGCCCACATGATCCACAAGATCCACATGATCTTGTTAAAACAGAGACCATGCCAGGCGGTGGTGGCGCATGCCTTTAATCCTAGCACCTGGAAGGCAGAGACAAATGGATCTCTGTAAGTTTGAGGCCAGGCTTCAAAGCTATACAGAGAAACTGTCTCAAAAGACCAAAAAGAGACCAGTGCAAACACTTAACTACCCTCAATTTGAGATGTGGAGTAGTGGTCCATGCCTTTGATCCTAGCACTTAAGACACAGAGACAGGCAGATGAGTTTGAAATTAGCCTGGTCTATTAGGCGAGTTTAGGCCAGCCAAGGCCACACTGAGATACTCTCACAAAACAAAAACTAAACAACCCCCTCAAAAAAAAAAAAAAATCATCTCAATTTGGGATTAGTTGGATCAGCCTAAATGTTTAAGAGTAAGGGAACTGGGATAGCCAGAATACTTCTGAATGTCAGCTAAAGGTCCATTATAGTCACAGAACTGTAAAATACACTGCTCCAGAGTGTAATGACCAGGAAATCCCTATCTCAGGAAGTTCCAACAACAAGGCTGCCACGCTGAACCTCCTTCTGGACTGCTGAACCTCACTTACCACGTACCAAAGGGAACTGGCCGTTCACTTTTTTCCTGGGATCACTGCTGACAGTCTGGGGGCCTGGCAAGGTGGCAGAGCTGGGCCCACTCCCAGAAGTCCCTGCCCCAGTCTCCCTCACTCCAAACTCCATTACCCTTGCTGTTCCCCCAACCCTGGTGCCCACTGAGGTCCCCCCACCTGGGAATATCGCTTCTATCACTCCAGAGGCTTTGGGATCCTTCTGCTCCTACAACATTCCTGTTTCCTAAGGAGAAGTAGTCTTGCAGGGACTACTTCCTGCAGCCAGCACAAGATTAGCAGTCTGACTTTTTTTTTTTTTTTTTTTTTTGGTTTTTTCGAGACAGGGTTTCTCTGTGGCTTTGGAGCCTGTCCTGGAACTAGCTCTGTAGACCAGGCTGGTCTCGAACTCACAGAAATCCGCCTGCCTCTGCCTCCCGAGTGCTGGGATTAAAGGCGTGCGCCACCACCGCCCGGCCTGTCTGACTTTTCTTATCACTTTCATAAATGGCCTACAAAGACCGGGCCCTCAATCCTAAAAGGTCCACCTCTCATATTTCCAAGCTTCCTGCCACAGCCCCCACTGTGACCTGCTGCTGCCCACAGTACCATCCAGTCTTCCTCTGCGGGCCAGAACATAGGCCACCTCAACCACAGCACCAGTCATCAGCCTGTCTTCAGGGTGACACTGTTTCTTGCATGCTACTGTCCCAAGAGCCCAGCATTGTGGCCAGCACTCCAGCTTCAGGACTTTAAAGGACCACTAAATAAACAAGTGACAAGACATCAGTCAGACTTGGACTCACCTGACTGACTTCACTATCTGTTGAGCGGCCTCTCTTCTTATCATCTTCAGAGTTTTCCTGATATAGGGGAAGTAGAGTCAGAAACTATGTGACCTCCAGGGTGCCAAAACAAAGGGCAATCCTTTAGGGACCCAGGAAGGCCCTTATTGCACTTAATCTCTCAAAGGCCCATCTGACGGACCTTGTGACCCACAGCTGTTTCAACATCCAACCTGAAATTCTGGGAAACACCTAAATCTGAGCTTGTTAGTACTGTCTTCTGAGAGCCAGCACCCACTCCCATCCTATGAAGTACCCAGCAACTTGCTTTCTTTATAGACTTCAACCCAGGATCCCTGTCAGAGAAGAAACACCCAGCTGCTCAGGTCATCCCACCACCACCAAAAACCAACATGCACGGCAAACCTGAGTGGGAACCTAGGGTCTATCTATCTTTCGACTTTGTATATTCATTCCACACCAGCAAGGGCCTCAGAGGCAAAAAAAAAAAAGCCTATAGACTTTACTTCCTTAGCTGCTAGCTGCTCTCTAGGGGAAGATTGGGCTTCTGATATCCCCATGCCCACCCTCTTGGGAACCCAAGTTATTAATAACCCCAGACCCTCACCGTAGTGCAGTTAGCTGGGCTGGGTGGGATGGGAGAGCTGGAAGTTGTTGAGGTGGGCGTGCTGCTGGACTGGTTGAAGATCTCATCCTCCATGTGGCTGTGGCTGGGTGGGGAGGTGGCGACCAGCGCCTGTGCTGTGGGGGCAGGGGAGCAGCATGCTTAGCTGGCTCAACCATGCCTCCTGCCCTCACCCTCTGTGCCATGAAGGTCAGCCCAAGGCCTCACGAATGTCCTCGAGGTCCAGGTCGTCATAGAGGAATTCGTTCTCTTCAAAGTCAGGGTCCTGGGATGAGTCGACGTAGTACTCCACGTCATCCTTGATCTTTCGGATGGCGTCAACCAGGATGGAGTCATTGTCCAGCATGCGCAGAATGGTCTCCAGCATGCGTACATGGTAGCGGTGTTTTTCGATGTGCCGCTTCAAGCCCTCAATCCGGTCCTGCTTCTGCTGGCGAGCCCAGGGCCAGGCTCAGGGGCTGCAGAGCACCTGCCTGGCCCTCCTGCCCCCACAGAACCTGTCCTCAGTCCCCCATCCCCAGGGTACCCCAAAAACTCCACTCCAGCCCCTCCTAGCATGGGGCAGTGAGGAGTTTGCCCACCCTCCGTCCCAGTGAGGACCAATCTGAGGTTTATGGCATCTCAGGGTCCCACTTTTCCCTCCTCAAACCCCTTTGGGCTCTGAAGATCCCTTGAAACCTGTTGTTGTCTGTGCTAGCCCCTACACTTGGCCTCTATCTGGCTCACCTGTCAGCAAGTCTCACCCAGCCCTCCCCCACTGTTCTGACCTCTGCCTGGAATATACATCCCATCTCACTGCAATAGTAATAAGGATAAATAAGAGGAGTTCCTGCTCCTCCTAAGGTTTCAATTCCCTTTACGCGACACCTTAGTGCCAGTTCCAAATTCCTCCTTTTGTTAATGACACCCACTCTTTCCCTCTCTGATTCTCAAATCTCTCACCAATCATGACATATTTCTCATTTCCCATCCCAACTTCCTTCTCTGGTGACACCATTAAATATACAGCCCTTTGAATTCACACTCTACAATCCTACAGCTGTAGGATCCAGGACCCTAACACATGTCTTTGGTCCAAACCATTGCCACTGGTTTCCCAGGGACACCCCACCTCCAAGGAGAATCTGGCTCACCTGTCAGCAAGTCTCACCCAGCCCTCCCCCACTGTTCTGACCTCTGCCTGGAATATACATCCCATCTCACTGCAATAGTAATAAGGATAAATAAGAGGAGTTCCTGCTCCTCCTAAGGTTTCAATTCCCTTTACGCGACACCTTAGTGCCAGTTCCAAATTCCTCCTTTGGGGTGCTGTGTACCTTCCCAATCTGGTTGTCCCTCCATGTCTCACTTACTCTGTGGTCCCTGCGGAACCTAAGTCTATCTTCAACTCAAACCACCCCTAACAAATATCCCATGATTCTGTCTTACCTCCTCCCTATACCACTCAGCTGGCTAGGCTGCCTCATCCATCCTGCTTTTTCCAATCTCTACCCCAGATATATTTTTGGCACCCAGAACTAGATTCCCATAAGCTTCCAGAGGCTTCCTGTACACAGGCCACATCCACCCCTACCCTGTGGGTGTGCTTCTCCCCTCACTCACATCCTTGTCGCCCTTCTTCTTGCGTGTCTGTACCGACAGTGACTCCACCTCACTCTCAAACTGGTCCACCTGCATATTTAGGGTGTCAATGGTGTTCTGGGGGGAGAGAAGGGAATAGGGGTTCATCCTCAAGTCCCTGACATATACTTAAGTCTGGGCCCATGTGCTCTCTTCTTTCTTTGTCCCAACTCACCGTGAGCCACTGGCCAACCTCTTCCTTCTCCTTCTGAGCAGGGTCCACCTTCTGAGCCAGACCTAGGCCCTCCTTGCTATAAGCTTTGGTTTTGGTCTCTCGTTCCACAACTTTGAACCGTTCCATTTGCTGTGGAGAGTACAGATAGTGGAAAGCTCTCAAAGATGAGATAGGAGCTCTAAGGGCCAGCAATGCTACAAACAGCCTGGAAACCTTATCTCTTAGACTGAGCCCTCATCTTTGTCCTCCCTTGGTCGTGGAGACATTAGTCTTCCCAGGAGTCTGGAGTGGCAGCTCCTAGAAGGCTGCTCTGCCTTCTAGCGTCCCAGGAACCTGATCATACCACCACCCCAGAGAGTCCCTGGCTTTGATTTCTTACCGTTTCAATGAGCTTGCGGTTTTCGATAAGCTGCCTTTTGTCCTTGATCTCGTTGGATGCTACCCATGTCTTGATCTGGTCCCTCAGCCGCTGAAGAGAAGCAGCAAAATATTAGGCTGTAGGCGCAGGAGCTGGGGCCCTCAGTGACTTCTTCTCCCTGGGACCCAGCAGTCCACTCTCCCCATCCCTCCTCCCACAGGACAAAGAGAGTCCAGCCCCAGCCCCCTCACTTGTAGCTTCTTAATCTCCTTCTTTAGGTCAGCCTCATACTTTTCTTTCTGGTTCGCGTTGGCTGCATTGTGGAGCTGAGGGATGAAGAATTCAGCAGTCAATGTGAGAGTGGCTGCCCAGAACTCGCCATAGCAGTAAAGGTCCAGTCTCTTCCTTGGCTGAGAAATCTAGGACCCCCTCCCCATAGTTGATCTTAGGGATGCTTCCCTGGTCAACACCCTGAGACTTTGAACCTCTTGATGGTTCTCCCCACAGACCCAGATTTTGAGGTTTCTAGGCTATGTACCTTTTGCCAAATATCTTCAAACTGCTCCACGCCTTCGGACACCTTCTTGAGGCAGCGATCAATCTCACCTAGACAGAGAAGAAGACTTAGGATCCTGACAAGGCAGCAAATATCCAAAGACAAGTTCCCGGAAAAGAGGGCCTGCGGTCACATTTATAGCAGGCAGTCTATTACCTTGGAGTTTGCGCTTGTCCGCCATCTTCCCTGCCCTACAGACGAACTCTCTTCATACTCCCTTGGAAATGGACGCTGCTGGGGAAAATTGGGTAGGATTTAATATCTATTCTGTGGCTAGTTTAAACCCAGAAACATGGTGGCAATCATGGAGTAGGTAGGATGGTAGAGGGAAGAAACAGTTACCTGCCCTCTTCCCTACCTGAAAACAGAACTCAGGGCCTTGCATGTGCAAGCATTCATTCATCTAACAACATCCCCAGCTACATTTCCTATCTGATAAGGAAGATCTGGCCTGTTCCTACATTCCTTCAATCGCCCAGTACAGAGACGGGCAGATTGGATTCTGGGATACTGCTGAAACAAAGAATGCTGTATCTTATTTGTGGGCCTCTGATTTAGGGAGCAAAACCTTTCTTTAGTACAGAGCATCTGTTCTCTAGATGACACTACAGCACATGCAGCATACAGGTGGATTGCTCAGATGGAGGTGCGAACCCTAACTGACGGGTTGGGACCAGAGGTGACTGGGAGAGGCCACTCCAGGCAAGTCGGGAAATATATGAGGCTGGCAACTCCTGGCACGAATGAGATACTGTGTATGTAGGTGTGCACTAAAGGGGAAGAGTGACGGGGGATTTCTCCAGCTATGAAGACCTGAACCTGCTCATGAAGGACACAGCAGGGTATCAAACAAGAGGATCTCACACTTTGAAGAAATTTATTTCACAGCAGAATCCTGGAGCCCCAAAAGATAATGTCCCTGGCCAGAAGTGTCTGATATTAAAAATGGTTATAGAAACTTGGGAGCAGGAAGTAGCACCTCAAAGAGGGCTGGGAGAAGATAGAAAGCTTATGAAGATAAGACAATAAAGAAGTACCTTAGCTGTGAGAGAGCAGATCCACACACATGGAAGAATTCCGGATCAGATAGACTCAGAAACATGAACCCAACAGGGCAGAAACCAAAACGCACAGAGGGACACCTCTTTTTATTCTGAAGGAAGGTGAGCTTAGAGGGGCCAGAGGACAAAGGACTGAAGAGGGGAGGTCTATATGTAGAGAAATCCACACTACAAAACTTGACTCTGAAACAGAGGAACACGGAAAGGGAGGGTCATGTGAAGAGGATTTCTGAACTGCTAGTAGAACCTGCCCCCACCCCACCCTGCCCAGAGTATACTAACAAGCAAGTCTGTCCTATATTCCCACAACCAAGAATTTCAACCTGGTGGGCAGCCATAATGAGGGATCTTACTACCAAGGAAAATAATACCCAGAGAAATATTCTAAACAAAACATGCAGGTCGGAAATGTTTCAGAGTCAGTTTAATGTACTACAGCCAGTGCAATGGAAAAACAGAGTCTGTCCCTTTCCAAGAAAGGGTCTTAGTAAACACTTCAGGCTGGCTTTGAACCCACATTCTTGCCTTGACCTCCCTAATGCTGAGGTTAGAGAGTGCACTGTTATTCCTGGCTCATTCACTTGTACTAATCACAGATGGTTAGCAACTACTCCAAGGGACATTACGGAGCAGGCTTTAGAAAAAGAGGCCTGAACAGGATGGGGTTGGCACATTTTCTGAAAGGATTTTAAAAATTAACTCTGTGGAATCCCACTCTGTGGAGAAGTAGGTATGGGTGGCACCTGGGAACTTAAAATCTCCACAGCACAGCACAGGATCTATCAAAAACAAAACAAACAAAAACAGCACTCTTATCTAAGGATTGGCTGACACACCATAAACCAGGAATCTTAAGAAAGATAAAGCAACTAGCAAAAGGACTCAGCAAAGAACCCCACTTAGGAGACCAAAGAATTGGTACCTCTCTGGTCCATGGACCTTGCATGGAATCAGCAAGAGGTCTTCAGGATCTTGACCAGGAATGAGTCTTGGCTCTAATATCCACCAGCACAGAAAAGCCTCTTTTTACACCAAGGAAGGAAGGAATGTTAAACAAGATCCTACAGAAGGGTTCTGGGCAGATACTGCAACCATAAGAGGTGAAACCAGTTGGGCGGTGGTGGCACACGCCTTTAATCCCAGCACTCAGATCTCTGTGAGTTCGAGGCCAGCCTGGTCTACAAGAGTTAGTTCCAGGACAAGCTCCAAAACCACAGAGAAACCCTATCTCGAGAAAAACCAAAAGAGGTGAGGCCCTACCCTAATCTCACAGTGAAGTAGTTGGGACTGAAGCACAGGAGAGGAGGTAATACGCCCTGCAGTAAGAATACAGTACTGTGGCAGCATAAAAATGACAGAAATACTAAAGGGGCTAGAAACAAGTGCTAAAAAGGGGCAATAAGGGCCAGTGAGTGGGATCAGCATAAACCAAGCCTGACAACCTCAATTCAATCTCCAGGATTCACATGGTAGAAAGAGAAAATCGACTCTCAAAAGGTGTCTTCCATCTTTCAAGTGTATACATGTGCTAAAACGCATACACACACCACATAAATAAACACAAGCAAACAAACAAACTGTCGGGCCAGGGTGGGCCTTTTAATCCCAGTCCTTGGGAGAGGCAGGCAGATAGATCTCAAGGCCAGCCTGGTCTACTGTAGTGAGTTGCAGGCCACATCAGACTACATAGAGACACAGTCTCAAAAAAACAAACAAAAACCAAACAAACAAATTTAAAAAATAATTAAGGGCCAGTAAAATGACTGAGTAGATAAAGGTACTTGCTATGAAGACTGGTGATCTGGATTCAATCCCCAAGTCCCAAATAGTGAAAGCAAAGAACCAACTTCTCAAACTTTTTCTGACCCCCCACATTTCTGTCATACCAACCATGCACATACCAAAAACACAACTTTAAAAATATATATAATAAAAAAAAATTTAAGAGCTGGCGATGTCTTGGGTAAAAGCACTTGTTCTTTTAGACAGTCCAGGTTCAGTTCCCAGCACCCACATGACAGCTCACAAGGTCTGCAACTCCAGTCCTAGGGGAAACATAGCTTCTCAGGGACAGCACATACACAGTGCCCTTACATGCGGGGAGGCAAAATACACATAGAATGAAAGTAAATTTAAGCAAATAAAGAAAAAGAACAGGTGTAATGCTTCAGTCATCAAGATGGACACAGCTGTGATTAGAGAAGAGTTTCTGCCTGGCAAGAAGCTGTTGTTCCAGAGTAAACAAGGCCCACATACCCAGGATTTTCTACTCTAGAGGCTGGAGTACTGCTAACCTTCTCTCCACCTAAAAACATTCCCCACTAAGAGGGTACCCACACCTCAGAAGCCAGAAAAGAAGTTAGTGCTGGAGTCTGAAACTATAGGTGCCGCCACAGAAGACTGCCCACGCCATTTTCCAAGACCCTTCTCTAGGAGGCATCACCACAGGGCCCTTTTGAAGTAGGCAAGCACCTTCACACAAAGCATACATATACACAGATGGTGAGGGGCTGCGGACAGCGTGGAGGAAGCTGGACCTCTTGGCCCAGATGGAGGCTCATTGATGGCTCTCTGTCCAAGACTGTGGCACATCCTGAAATCAGGACTCACAACAGGAGTCAACAAAACAACTTCCAGAACTTTTCGTCACAGGTTTCAAGATTGGCATACACAGACCTGATGAGGGGCATAACATTAATCCTGAAGGCTGGTGCTGTGGAGTGGCCACACAAGCATCTTGGAGCATAGCACAAGGCATCTTGCAGCTAAGAGGGTTCACACTAAAGCCAGGAGGAGTGTCAAGCAGCATTGGTCCTCCATGGACCCTGGCACCGCCACATGGGGGTTTCATTGAATGAGGTGGATAAAGTAGGTTCTGGTCAGAGGTAATTGTAGCCCCTGGAGAGGCCCGACACCAAAGGTTGAGGAACCACACCTTGAAAAGTCATCCCTAATCTTTAGTTGTAGACAAAGTGACCACAGTGTTCTCTCCCCCAAGTCCCAGACACGGCACTGTCTTCACTGGAGACCCTCAGAAAGATCACAAGAGGAGTAAATCATACTAGCCAGGCAAGAGTATCCTAGCCTCAAAGTACACAGGGAGTGTAGCTATCTCAAATGCAGGAGAGGGGGAAGCCGATACCAAAGAAGGCAGGAACTTCACCTTGCAGGTGACAACACTAACCAACAAAGACAACCCAAGTATAGGGAGAAAGACCACCCCTTGCACAGCAGGAGACTTAGGCGAGGGGCCTTTGCATTCCTACAGGGTAGGTATTTAGCTCTGGTCCGAGGCTTTCCCCCAGTGTATTTCAATTAGGGAAGAGCACACTTACACACAGGTGGGGAAATGAGAATGGAAGGGAAGGGAGATAACAACCCATGTGATGAGGGGAGAAGGTGAAGACAGGACAGACCGAATCCTAAGAACTGACAGCCACAGAACTGAGATGCAGCTGTTGACAAGAGGTGCTTCAACTGTCCCCAACAATAGCATACCAGTAACTGAGAGCTCGGGAGCTCACATTCCACGGACACAGGCTGAGGAGAGCTAAACAGTTCCCAGCACACACAGCAATACCAGTAGACTTGACACCACTAGGAAACCACATCCAGGGAGGCCAACAGCTTGCATCTTAGTGGAGCTTGCATCCCCAAAGCTAGAGGCCGCTGATACCCTACCTCAAAGATGGAAAAGACCTGAAGCCAGGAAGTGAGCTAGATGGTGGACAGTCTTGAATCCAAGGTTTGGGGAAGGAGTGTTTAAAAAAACATGCTTCCTTTAAAATAAGGCTGGTGGAATGGGACATCTAGAAGACTTCACTGCCAGAGCTGTGAGGACAAGGTGGAAACTTTGGCTTAGGCTCCAACTCACAACGGGAGCTGCAACCTCGGGTCTTGGGGACTTTTCCTCCACCAGATCCATCTCTTCCAAAGAGGCTTCCCCCTAGCAAGACACCAACAAACTGGAGCTTTCGGGTGCACAGAGGCCACGCTCCTACAGGGAGCTCCCGGGGAGGGCATGACTGCAGTTGTGCCCCCCACACCCACAGCTGAAAGCCTCTTCCCTGCCCGCTGCGCGCCCATCGCTCCAAGACCGGCCAGACGCGGAGGAGGGCGGGCACCTCGCACCCGGGGCCGGCGCGCTGCCACGCGGGAATCGGGACGCGGGAGGAGAGCGGAGGCTCCCTGCCCGCCCGCCCGCCCGCCCGAGCTGAAGGCAGGCCTGAGCGCGCGGCCAGGGCAGGGCCGGGGCCCGGCGGGTCGCGACAGGCGGAGGGGTCGCGGAGCGGGAAGGCGGCCGACGACGCTGGGGGAAGAGGGGAAGGGGTCCGGCCCAGTCGAGCCTGACGCTCTCACCGCAGGAGCTGGCGCCGCCGCTGCGGAGCGTATCGCGACAGGCGAGGAGGGGGAGACAGAGGCGAGCGCCCGCCAGCCGCCTTTTTTTTTTTTTCCTCTTTCCTCGCGCCCCAAGCCCGGGCGCTATCGCGATAAGAGGGCGCGAAAGCCGGAAGTGGGGTTGGGTTGTTGATAGAGGAAGTGGGCCCGGGATTGTTCTAGACGACCGAGTAGGGGATTCGGGGCTCAAGGGAAGGCCCGGCGGCGCCTGCCGACGGCTCCACGGAAGCTGAACGGGCCCGGTCCAAGATGGCGGCGACGGAGGAGGCCTCCCCTCCTCTCTTCTCGTCTCTGGCGCCGGCCCGCCCCCGAGCCCCGAATATAGGTCCGTCATTGCTCCTGCAGCACGTCGCTCTGGGCCGTCAGGCGCGTCCCATTGGTTCCGAGGGAGGATGCGGCCAGCCCCCTCGCTCGGATTGGCTGATCTCTGCAGGGCGCGGCGTTCGATTGGCCTCCCGCTCAGCTGGCTTGGATTGGCTCAGGTTTTCCTTCCCGGCTCCTCCTCCTCCTCCCCGCCTCAGAGCACAACACGCCAGCGCGAGGGCCCGAGTGTCAATCAGGAGGCCTGTGTCGTGCTGATTGGATGCGTCCGCCCCCTTCTCCTAAATCAATTGGCTGCGGGGAGGAGTCAGGACGAGGGGCGGGAAGTCGTCCGTCAAGTTTGAAGGCAGCTGTAATTGGTTGCGACGTATATTCTGCCTCGAACTTATTGGTTGGTCATGGAAGTGGGTAGGGGAAAACGACGGAAGGCATGGAGAGTGGGTGTTAAAGGCCACTTACCTAGTGGGAGACGGACAGGTGACTGGGGTTGGGAGGGGGCATTAAGCCCAAGTTATTTACCAATCAAAAGAGCCACCAGGCCTAAGGGGCGGAGCTAGACGAGAAGGCCCCTCCTATTTCCAGTTTGGCCAATAGGGTAGCTATTAACCGAGGGTGCTGCCGACAGGTGTGGTTCTCGAGCATCCTTTCCTATTCCTGCCATCCAGGCTGTTTTCTGATTCCCATTTAAATAGTTTCCCAAGTGCCTATGCTTGGCATATCTCTTTTCAGAATGCTTTCTGGATGGAAGAAGGAAAGGCGGAATCAGAGACAACTAGCACCATGCACAGCAGAAGTGACTGAGAAAGTGTCTGCACGGGACTGTCCTGCCTCCAGTTAAGTGAGCAAGCCGACTGCGGGACACTCTTCTCTGTCTCCTTTTCTTTGGTGTTGCAAGGAATCTGTTGCTGCAGAAGCTGCAGGAGAAACTGCGCTTTACCATACTTGAGTTACATCTGTAACGGCTACTTACTGGAACTGTTAGGATTCTTCTCTTAGGGAGCAAACTTCCCTGACCACTCTTGTAGAATGCTTAATGAGCCTCTTTAATTTTGTTCAAATTCTGATTTTTTTTTTAAATACTTACTTGGGACTCCCACTCTGGATTTCTCAGTGTCTGACACTTATAGAGCACAATGTAGCCTTTGGCTGAATTAGTAGATGATGAGTCCGAGCAATGATTTATGTTGAAAACTTTTTGAGCACCACGTTTTCATGAACTGGGAAGCCAGATCCATCTCTGCCTGCCTAGGTGAAGGAAACTAAAATAAATCAAACTTGAGGAGAATGTGGACACCCCCTCAGAATGGCATGAAGCGAGAGGAAGAAATGGCCTATAAAAAGTGTATTCTGCTGGAGAGATGCTCGGCAGTTAAGATACCCTTTTCTGCAGAGGACTCGGGATTCTGTCCCCAGCGCCCACATGGTGGCTCACATGCCTGTATAACACCAGTTCCAGGGTATGACTCCATCACCTGACCACTGCTGGTGCACTTATTCTAACACATTCACATAGGGTTTTTTTTTTAATGCACATTTTTAGGGTCACGTAGACTTAAGAAAGTGAAATCTAGGAACTTGTATTCATCCAGATTTTTCTAACACCCCCATACCATACTTTCAGGTTTGTTATTCATGTACAGCTTAGTTATTCTGTGTAGGCCCTAAATGTGGAGCTGCTTCTAGCCTTATCAGGAAGCCCTTATGGATTTGTTAAGATGCAGATTATCTAGGTGGTCCCCAATTCTGCTTTTCCTAACAAGCTCCCAGGGCATGCTGATGACCTCAAGAACAGAGTTTTGATTCTCAGGATTAGTTGCACTTTAGAATCACCTGGGAAGTTGGGAGGAGGGGTGTCCAAATACCCAGGCTCATGCTAGAAAAATTACATCAACTCCTGGAGATAAGAACAAGCTATCATTCTTCTCCTGAGGTAATTCCAACGTGCAGCTAAGGTAAAAATCACTCACTTCGAAGCATAGTCCTTTAATCAGTACCATCAATAGCACATGGAAATGCACTTTCTCTTTCACAGAAGGGAGATTTGAACCCAGGGCTTCACACAAGAGGAAAGTACCCTACTATTGAACTATTCCCCCAATTGCCTCTCACCTCATTTTTGGCAGGGTTTCATATAGGACAGGCTGGACTAGAACTAGCTTTGTAGCAGAGGATACCTTGAACTCCTGGTCCTCCAGCTTCTACTTCCCAAGTGCTGGGATTACAGGTATCTACCACCATGTCTCAGCTTTTGCCCTTTTTAAAGGATCTTATGTAAGCCTTGAAACTCACGATGTAGACTAGGATGACCTCCAACTCACATAAATCTGGTCTCTGCCTGGGAGTGTTGGGATTGAAGGTGTATGCCACCACACCCAGCAGGGCCTTGACACAGCTAGGCAAGCACCCTGAGGTGAACGACTGCATTCCTGGCCCTCTAGAGACATTTATTGTATATGTATGGGTGTGTAGCCTACATGTATGTCTGTGCAAAACAAGTGTGCCTGGTGCCCAGGGAAACCAGAAAAGGATGTCCTATCTTCTGGGATTGGAATTATAGGCCACTGTAGGCTGCCATATGGGTACTGGGAATCAAACTTAGATTCTCTGGAAGAACAGCCAATGTTAACCACTGAGAAATCTCTTAGCCAACTCCCTTTTCTGAAATTGTGTACATATGAATGTATTGTGTGTAGGTGCATATGCATGTGTTTATGAAGGCCAAATTAGCCTTCTCAGTAGCTCTTTCTTCTTCTTTTTTGTTAGGTCACTCATCTGATGACTGGTAGCATCCACCTGCCTCTACCTGCTCAGCATTGGAATGGCAAACTCATGCTACCATTCTTGGCCTTTTATATGGGTGCTGAGTACTGGACTCAGGTTCTTAAGCTGGTTGTTTGTTTTCTCCCTCTCTCTCTCTCTCTCTTTTTTTTTAAGACAGGGTTTCTCTGTATAGCTCTGGCTGTCCTGGAACTCGATCTGTAGACCAGTCTGCCTCAGACTCAAGAGATCCACCCCCTGGTTCTTAGGCTTTATTGAAAGGCACTTTACCAAAAGTACTGTCTCCAAACCTCTCCCCAACTTAAATTTCTTTTTTGGACATAATTTTTCAAAGCCAGACTGGCCTTGAACTCACTATGTAGCCCAGGTAGCTTTGAACTTCTAACCTACCCGAGTAGCTAGGATTACAGGCTGAAATACACGTTTTTTAGCGCTACCTTAGCAAATCTGAATCGGACTCTAGAACTAGCAACCATGTCTTAGAGAGCCCTCAAGGCATTCTGCAGGATGTTGAATTCTGAGATTCACATCTTCTCCATTCACCACTGGCAATGTCAGATGCAAGTCAGGCAGGGACAGAGCAGGGATTCTAAAGGAGTGCTGGACAAAGTGCTATCCCTAGCAGGCCCACAGGAGATTGGGATCAAGATAGAGAGTGGGGAGACAGGTGAAGGCCCAGAGGGAGGAACAGGGACCAGGAAGCCCAAGACAGACCTGCCAAACAATGAGTAAGAGAAGTCCTGACCTTAGCAGCTGGTCCATGTTCAGACCCTCAGAGTTAAGCTCAAGCTGAGAAAATGGAGGCCAGCTGCGACTCTCCCTTACCTTCTGCAGAACCACAGATTCATAACACACCAAAGATGATCCACCCTGTTCTACTTTTTCCCTTGGCATTAGTTCTAGAGTCAGACTGGGTAGTGTGTGCTTCTTTTGCGTATCTGGCATTGGTGCCTCCCAGGGCAGGGTGCCCATCTGCCTCACTCTTGCTGAGGACTCAGGCATGGTCCCCTCATCAATCGTGGATTAAAATAACTGGCTCCCCACTAAGCCCAGTCCTAGGTACTTTCTGCACATACTTCCCAGATCTCTTAGGTGCCTCACAGTACAGATGTGGATCTTGGACCAAGGAGGTTTCTAGCCAGAGGAACAATAATAATCCTGTGGGCCCTGGAGCTTTGTGGTGGCCATACTATTTGGCCATGATGCTGAGGTTCTCAGGGGGTGGGTGGTGATGTCAGAAATGCACAGGGCTTTTATCTTCTTAGATTCCAGGGCAAGAGCAGAAGACAGCTGGGTCCATGCTACCCGGACTGGAAATGCCACAGCTCTGACTCTTCTGGGCCTTTCACAAATAACCACACCCTCTGGGCAGAGCCTGACACTGTGCATTTAATTGTACTCTTTCTGAAAAAGCACTTCCTTTTCCCATGTAAGTAAAAAAGATGAGTGCGAGGAATTCCTCCACCCATTTGGGGTAGCAGCAGTCTGGGTGCTGGGAGAGGCAGATCAAGGCTTTTCACCCTTTTCCTTGGATGCTGTGGCCTTGAGCCAAGAACAGAGCAGGGCAGACTGCCTCCACCACAACTTCCTGGCTGGATGTCCATCACCTCTGAAGTTCCAATCCTTCATGTCCTTCCAGTGGGTGGCCACCTGGGGTGTGGGCCCCCCTCAAGTGGACATGGTGCCGCTTTTCTCACCCTTGACCTTGAGGAACTCAGCCATGCTAGAGAAATACTTCTGGTTGGCCTCTGCCACCTTCTTCTCAGCTGCTTGAGGGTTCACAATCTCCAGACCCTGCAAGGGAGTGGGTGAGAGGTAAGGCGGGGAGGCTCAGGCCTCCCTCCTGTATAAGAACCACTCCAGCAGACACAGAACTGTTTACAGTCCCCGGAGTCTCCCTCAGTTTGGCTGATTTTGACCCAGTGTGCCTGGACATCAGGATTGTTAGCTTCCTCAGGTGACACCAAACTCCTGTGTAGTTTTGGATGAGGAAACTGAGCCCCAGAGGACATGACCAGCCAGAGTTTCCTGCAAATCCCACACCATGACAGTGATAATGCTTCCAGTCTTCTTGTTGGTCCGTCCCTGGCTCCATCACCTTTCACTCCTGCTTCTCTCTGGCACCCATGGCCTTCTAATACAGCATATACTTGACTCATTCATCTGTCCTCTCCAGCCCATGACCCCCTAAAA